ATATTAACAGGTGAAGCAACATCTTTTCAAATTGAAGAATAATTGTCAGTAAGTGAGACCGTCTTTTTCAAGTACGCACCAATAACATCAGTAGACGTTGAAAGAAGCTTCTCCAGGTATAAAAATTTACTTTCAGACAAGAAACGCTCGTTTACATTTCAAAATATCAAAGAAAATTTAATAATCCAACGTAATTCTGATATTTAGTAATATTATGAGATGGAAGTTGTTATATTCATTAAAGTTTTTTTACAAAATGAAAATGTTTTGGAGTCAATATATTTTCCTTTTTTTGTTATTTTAGGATATAAAACATATTTTTCAAACTTTAATGAACAAGTATTGCATTGCTTTATATTTTTTGAAATGACTCATAATAATTTTAATGAGTAAAACATTGTTTTAGTTCAATATTTTTACTTTATTTTAGTCATGTCATATGGCATTTTCAGCGCAATTTTCGCATTTTTAAGGGCATTTTTCGCACTTTTTAAGGGCATTTTTCGCACTTTTTAAGGGCATTTTTTGCACTTTTTAAGGGCATTAATTGAGACTTTTTAGGTCATCAAGATCCGGGCTCTAGTGATTACTATTTGCACAATTCAAAAAAAGTGAGTAGTTATGATGTATTAAAAAGATTGGTATTTTAAGACACACGTGGAAATTTGACAATGACTCCGAAAACGAGATCGAAAAGTCACTTAGATAAACTATGAAATGAACACAAATGAAGAGTTTTAAAAGTGAATAGTAAAATTCGAAATTCACGCATCATTCTTTGGTCGTCTTAAAATTGTCGAGATTTTTAAAAATTCATAGTGATAAATACCGAAAAAGCGATCAAAGAGCTACATTGATTTAATTTGGTGCGTTCAAAAACGCAAATGCGTAATCGCAACGCTTGAATACGTCCTCTAGCGAGTACTATATTTTCAGGCTTTTATTTATTAAGTTTTCATTTAGTTCTGTCAGAATCATTGGCAGAGTAAATACGCCATTTTTTAGCAGCAAAATTTCTCTAAGGAAAAGGCAGAAAAACTTCAGAACGCACCCAACATTTAAAGAACAATTTCTCGATAATTTTTACCTTTCTATTATCAACAAACTTCTGATTATTAAAGTGAAGTCAACATTGCTTACTTCATTAAAATGAATAAAGGTGATTTTAGAACGTGTAGAACTGTAAAACTTGTAGAATATTCTTCTTTATAGAATAGTATATATTTCTGTATCTATATAACAAAAATAAACAATCATTCGAATTACTTGAAATAGTATCATTTGTGTTGATTAATACATTTTAATGCATAATTTAAAACTAGTTTTGAAATAAAAATTGATAGGAGTCTTGAATGCTGTTTTAAGTTTTGTTGGCTTAGTAACATTTAAATAAATTCTTACTTTGCCAAGTACAAACCCCATATCTAGAGAACATTCCTTTTAATCATGCTGCTAAACATTAACTGTATGTAACTATTAAATAATACAAAAGATATTTGTAAATGACACTCTTGCAAAATATTGCAGTGTTAATTTTGTTCCCCTGGAATATCTGGAGGAAATTTATTTAAATTTTTACATCCATGTTTACCTTAAATGATGCTTTAAAATTAAGATTTACAAAATATATAAATTTAAAAAAAGAAAACCCATGAAAAATGTTCAGTCTTTTAATTTAGTTACTAAAAATATGCTTAAAAAGATTGTTGTGTTATTTGTTGAGAGATAGGAAATAAAAATGCTTTAAGCACAGTTATTGTGCAAAATAAAAACGTCACCCGTCAATTTTCATAAATATTTGGAATTTAAACAGCACAGGCAAAGTAACAAATATTGGAGAAAAAAATCTCAGTTTAATAGTAACACTCTTAAGTGCTTCCATTAAAAAAAAAAAAAAAAATGCAGTGCATCGATTTTACTGAAATATTTTATAAATAAAACTATGCGCTTCAACTGCAAAATATCAAAACGTAAACTATGGGAATAGGATTTGGGCGTTTTACCCTAGAAGATATTCAAAATCTCTACTCACAAAACAGAATATTGAGAACTTTTTCCAAAACCCAATGAAAAATAAGTACTTTTGAGGGCTCTTCAGAAATTAAAACGAAAAATAAGTACCTTTAAGAGGACACTACACCACAGGAGAAGCTTTTCTATTTCATCCCCATAAGTATTTTAAAGTTTAGAAAAGAGAGAGTCCTGTCAAACTAAGAATAAACAAAAAAAATTTCAAAGGCGGAAAAAAAATGTTTTCAAAATATTAAATTGTAAACAAATTATAGCAGGACTACTTACCCCCTATATTTTTTGTGTCATTATTTTTTTGCATTTTAATATTTCAAAAGAAATTTTTTTTCATCAATTGAAATTTAATGGATCACTGTAGATTTACCAGAGAATATTTTTTCTATACTTTAAATTACTTAATCTTAAGCATGCTACTTAAGCTTACTAAGCTTAAGCATACATCTTAAGCATGCTACTTGCTTTCACATTTACTCTTAATGTAATGTGACAATTTAATTTCTAATTTTACCTAAGCCTTTTAATTTTTCTTTAAACGTTATTCCTTTTTTTTCAATTTAGCAATTTTAACTTTCTTGTTGACCTTTCTCATGGTCATTGCTCTTCCTGTGGGGAAAGTCAACCAACCCCTCTATTCACGCCTTTCTTTTTCTTCCTTTAATTTTAGGGGGGCTAACTACCCAATCTCTTTCCTTTAAATTTCAAACTCTCCGCCTCTTTAAATTTAATTGGCCGTAATTTTTCTGGTCCTATACCAGTTAAGGAATTTTTAAGTCACTTTTTAAAAACGATTCTCTCTCGAGCCTTCGGGCAGGTTAACTTTTTTTTTTATTCTCCGAGATGCGGACTTCGGTCCGTATCGAGGGATTTCTTTTCAAATTTTTTTCTTAACCTTTACCTTAAATAAAATGCATAACTATAATCAATTTCTGTAAATTTAAAATCAACATTTTATACCTTTAATTTTCTTTAACATTAAAAAAAAACCCTTCTCGAATTTAAGCTTTCTTTCCATATTTATTTTAACCTTTAAATTACTCGTTCTTTTATAATTAACATTTTTTTATGACGCCTTCTGTGTTTTAATTCTCCCGTCACCCATTTCAATAAAATGCCTTTCTTGTGTTGGTAGATGTGGTGAAAGATTTATGTTACTAAATAAAATATGTTGATAATTTAATCTTGTGCTGGAGAAATTATTTGCCTCTATTTTCATGATTTATCATGTCCTCCTGTATGTGGGTGGTGAGTACCTTTTTTTATTGTTAAGGGAATTTGTAATTTTCTGATTGGAGACATCAGCTTACTGTATTAAATCACATATTTATGTTTGGATATAGCATGACTTTATCTTATTTATCTTTAATTTTTAACTTATTTTAGTTTCGCACTTTTTCCAAATCATCCAATTTGTTCAAACCTCACACTTTGTGACCCTTTGAACCTATTGGGTTATTGTTATCCCACATTAGCATTGTACAACCACTTTCCTTAACGATCACATTCGCCTTAATTTAATTTAATTTCCCTTTTATATATTTCGGCCTTAATTAGTTTTTCATGACATTTCAATTATTTAACTATTTTTAATCATGACTATATCCAGAGATACATCCAATTATGCAACCCATCCATTTTAATAAATAATACATAAATTACTTTTATTCGCACCAATTCTATATTTTAATTTATTTGTTACACTTGCTGTGCATTATTTATAGAAAGATCAAATAGACGTTGAGAGTAAAAAATGTTTATTTACCATTTACTGACCATTATATTGAAGATAAAAGTTAAAGATTTACATATATGAAATAACTTACATTGTTATAAAAAGGTTTTGTTTTTCTTTCTTTCAGTAAAAGGGATTTTTGCATGCTTTATTACAAATGAGGGTACTATAGCTCAGAAGCACAATAGGAAAGCACGGTTATTACAGCTGCCGAGATGGAATCTACATTCCTTCCTGCTACAACACTTCTTGGACTGAATATATATATAAAAATATTCATCTCTGAGGAAGCATTTAAATTATGACTGGTAAAACATATGTCAGATATAATATAAGAGATACAGTCAAACCTATATATTAGAAAATCCGAGATACCTTAATGTAAAATTCTAGAACATTTTAGCCTAATAAGAGTTGCTTTTAAATAAATTCCAATAATTAATTCCCGAAAGAAAGAAAAAATAAGAAGAAACTGTTAAAGCACATGGATAGTTTAAATTTTTCTAGCATACAAAATTAATAAAATGAGCAAGCTTCATAACTTATGTAAACATCAAATTTCAAAAACTTTATTTTTCTTCTATAAAAAAATATTTTGTAGAAGTAAGAGTTGGCAGAAATGTATTCGTTTTCTTATCCCATTATCGAACAGCAAATACTGAAGCATATCAGAATCACTGTAAATTTGCGATTTCCAAGTTAGCTCGTTTGAGGATAGACTGCATTTATATTACAGCTGACATATTCATTTCAAATTATAAGAAACAAAAAGTACATCAATAGCAAAAAGGTATAACATGTATACTTAATGATTTAAAAAAATCATTAAATCTTAGAGCTATTTAAATCAAATAGAATTAAATTCTTTAATAGCTACCTTCAAATGTTGAAACTACTGAATGTTCAGAAGTTTCATTCAATATAAAATATTAATTTAACTGACTATTTGAAGCAAATAAAATCAATTTATACAGAAATGTACAGTAAAATGGAAGCCATAATTTTAAAGTGTACATAAAAACTCTGTGCTTCATAGAAATTGGCAATTTGGAAGAATAGCAGAATTAAATTACGATAGAATAAGTTTTCTAAGTATTTAGCCAAACAGGGTTAAATATTTTTTATTAGAAATTTTTGTTTATTTACAAAAAAATGGACATTTTTTTATTAACTTAAAAGTGAGCAAGATAGAAATGAATTTTATTTCCCGATTAGAACAAATTTTTTTTAAAGATAAATTAAACAATATTTACAAATTAAATAAATCTTCATAAGTCACATAAATTAAAACAAAATTGCTTAAAACAATTCAATTTTTTGGGTTGGTCTGACAGTGAAATGTACACCTCTATTTTCTCAGTTAAACTTATTTACAATTAACAAATCAACTAAAGATACGTAAATCATAGATAATAAAACCGAGATTCAACAGTACGTAAAACATTTCCTAACAATAATTTAGAGGAAATCATGGCACTCAATAAATTTTCACTCAATGTATATTTGTACATTTTAACTTCTTTACAATTACAACACACTTCAATATCCATCACAAATAAAACAATTTAACAAGAGAAGAAATTAAATGTGACCAAAATGTAAATAAATATTGGTTATAATACTAAAGACTTGTTAAGTAAATGTAGGAAATATTACTTTAAAAACTTTTGAAGTAAAAAAATTAAAAACATTAAGCATCGTATATGTGAAGAATGCTTTTAACAATAGGAACTCAAAACTCGGCATAAATAAAAATAATTTTGGTTATTATTATTTTTAAAACCAGATGATTTTTTTAGTTTTCAATTGATAACAAACAAAATTTCATACATATAACTATCTTTAAAGAATTTATTCATAAACTGCAACATTAAAAATTAAGCAAAATAAAAAAAGATATTTATTTTTCCAATAATTAAAAAATATTACGAATAAGAAATTCTATGCTAAGTTAAAAGATTTTCTTTTTTGACTAGAACTTATTACTCTATACAAATCATTATTTTCACAAAGTATAATTTAACATTTAAAAAAAAAAAATCAAATTATTTTCAGCATTAAAAAGTCCTTTGCAATGAAAAACTTTAGAATAATTTCAAATAAAAAATATTACCTGCATATAATGTTTCTACAAGAAGCCAAAAACAATTTCTATATCTATTCAAATATGATAATTACTATTACTAACAATTTAATAATATTTTGAGTTTCAAAATTTTTAGTAGAACAATTGATGAGTCACAAATAATAAGTAGAATGGTTTACAACAGCATTTGAAAAAATTAATAAAGTACTTTAGCTACTGATAGTAATATGCCTATAAATGCAAAACTAAATGTTAAGTTTAAATTAAATTAAAATGGAGAGGCACAACCTGAGTTCCAGGGCCAAACAAGACCCTCAAATTTTTTAAAAATCAAATTTGTCAAAAATCAAAAGTCTAATCAAAGAATTCAAAATTTGTAAATTGTTAAAAATATTTTTTCGAAAAATTTATAGTACAAGCTTACTAAATATTTTTACGTTGTAATGTAATGTTTACTTTGTAATTAAATACTCATTCCATTTTTTTTATTACTATTATGATTTTAAGACTTATCTTAACACTTTCAGAAATTTGAATCAATTCAGTTATTTTTTAAGGGAAGTAATTGAACTACCTTTGACTGACCAAAACTTTTTACCCAATTTCAGCTTTTAAAATAAGTTTTTTGGCTTAGTTAAACAAAAAATTGTACACCACTAAATTAACACTGGAAACTTGATGGGGATTATTTCAATGCTTTTGAAATAATTTATAAAAACTCTTACTTAAATAGTGCTTGTAATTTTGTAAAATACACGACAAAAGGAAAAAATAATTTTCTTTAAAAACAAATTACATTTTTTATACAGGTATATACATTGGTTTACTTTCATAACATATAATATAACAGGCCATAAACATATGCTTTTAATGTGTAACAGCAAGACCATACATCTTAGTAAAAAAAAAAAGGTTTTGTAAGCCCAAACTGTACAAGTTAGTAAGCATCAATTCTTTCAATTTACAACTAGTTTGTTAAAAATGTGCCTTAATTTACAATGCATTCACGTTACATTTTAAATAATTTCTGGTTCATTATTTAAAAAAATTAAAAGCTCTTTAAAAAGCAGCATAAAGTGCTGCAACACTTTTAGAGAAATATAGCATATGGACAGAAGTTTGAATTGTAAAATACACGAAATGACAAAACTGATTTTAATATATTAATGTCGCCTTCAGAAATGCTATCATGCAAATGATAGGGCATATTTAAAAGCAGGATCTACGACGTTGACTAGGAAGCTTTACTAAATGCATATTATGGGTAGCGGTAATATTAGATTAAAAACCTATTTTTTAATTTACAACTTTTTTTTTTTTAAACAGTATGCTTTATTCCGATTCTTCGAAGTGTTCTTCAGATTGTGCAATAACAAATGGTACAAAATGCAACAGAGAGAAAAAAAGAAAACTAATTTTTAATCTGCGTCATTTTTAGGCAAACATCTGTTGACCTCGTGTTTCATGAGCTGGATGGTCCTTAAAAGTCATAATCACAAGTAAGCCTTGTTTCTGGAGCAGAGTTTTGGAGCTCTTAAGGCACTTGCTCTACAAAGTATGAAATTGACTAGTAAATTATTTCTGTTTGAGATCTATCTTGTTTGGAATAAGTCACCATAATTTCATTTCCTACGTTTCCTATGACATTCAAAGCCTAGAAGATAAAAAATGAATGTCAATTCTTAATTATTATAACAATTTTTTGTCATACTTATGTTACAGTTAAGACAAGAATAAATGATAAACCCCGAGTTTACAAAGACACTGTATCTTGGGAGATACTTTTTATGACAAACTCTGTTTCACCTCCATATGTATTTTAAATTTAAACTTAAGAGAAAAGTGTTTAAGAGTTTACAAAGATGCTGAACCACGGGAGATACTTTTTATGACAAATTTTGTTTCACCTAGATATGTATTTTAAATTTAAACTTTTAGAGAAAAGTGAGACAGGAAAAAAAATTATTGCATTATTACTACCCCAACTGCATCATCCTGAGATATTTGTTTTCCTTTTGATATTTTGACAAAACTTGTGGGCCATTTGAAACTACACGATTTACCTTAACTCTTACAAGGTGAGTAGCCGAATCTTTCAACAAAAAATAAGCACCTCTTAAGCACTAAAAAAATATTTTTAAGCACTATATACGTTAACAAAATGCAAAATAATTTTCAAACACTTTACATGATCAAGATAAAATAACTAGTTTTTGACAAAGAACTCTTTTCTTGATTATATTAGCCATTATAAAAGTGATCAAGGGATTTTTCGGTTTGACTTCAGAGGATAGAAAGTGAAGCTTGAAACTGAAAATATCTTGCAAAATGCAGCAGAGTTGTACGTGAGAGTGCAATAATCTCACTATACGCACATGCAGACTCGCAAGTATTTCATCAAACCTGTAAAAATATTGGCTCTTTCATACGCTATGAACCGACAGTACGCTGAAATAGATTGTGGTTAAATAATTGTGAAAACGTTGAATAGAACAATGTGAAAACCACTGTTTTGCATAATACGCAGCAAAACTAAACATGGTCAAGAAGGAAAGAAATCATTTTCGAAAAGAAAAATTAAGCACTTTTTAAAAATACCCAATGCAAAAAGCACCTTTAAGGGTTTATAAAAAACGAAAATCAAAATTAAGCACCTTTAAGCACTTTTTAAAAATGCTATGCACCATGTCTTATTTTCCAGAGTTAAAAATACTTATGAAGGTGGAAAAGAATTTGCCAAAAAGGGTTTCTTCACAGCTCTCAAGCAGTTTATGCTAGAATCACGAAGGCTTTGCAGCTAAGACTCAAGAGTTTCCAAGGCCTTTAACTGGATGTAAAGAAATTTTAGCTCATTTAAGAGTTCATATTGCTAACAACTTTAGTTGGCTCAAACCAAAGTCAATCAGTTGGAGAACAATTCCAGGTCGTATTAGCAATGAAAAATTTATACAATATTAAGTATTCATTGTGCAATATCTTGAGGTAAATAGAGAATTTTAGATTCATTATTTGAACAAACTGATAATGGATTGCATAGCATGGATAATTAGAACTATTCTAGTAATGCTTTCAATAAATTACTGTTGATAAACATTACATATGTTTCTGAAAACAGACTACTACAAATCTAAAGTCTAAAATAATTTTTTAAACTAAAGAATGCTTCAGAAAACTGCAAATACTTTATGTATTCAGGGGTCTATTTAGAAGAAATTTGGATCCGTTAACGGAGCCTTCACAAAATATCTTTATATAAAAACAGATCCTTCGCAAAATAATTTATGTTTTAATCGAACCCTTCACAAATTTGTTTATCTTCATTATTGTTTTGTGAATTGAATAAACCCTTCCCGGGTAGGAGGGAAAAAGAAAGACAGTTCGAAACAAACTAAGCTTCCCTAAGTTAAAATTCCAAATGTAGTATTCTAAGAAAATATTTCAACTTTTACAAACATCGTGTGCACATTCTTATTGATATTAAATGACAATTTTTTTGGAAATAAATAATTGATAAATTTATATTTATTCATAAAATTAATTATAATAGAATATTATGTAAATAAAAATTAATTTCTGGCAATTTTTTAAATAAAATATTATAAATTTAAGAACTGTTTAAATTTAATTAATGCGTAACACATTAAGAGTGATATAATGAAAAAATAAAATGAAAAATTTCAATCGAATTCGATTATAAACTTGAGCATTTCCAACAAAAAAGTAACATTAAATAAACTAGTGTCAAAAACCATCAAGACAGTACTTACTTTATCTAACATTTCTTTAGTGTGAGATGCAGATATACAAAATCGCGCACGGGAAGTTACAACTGTCGTAGCAGGATAACACACTCCTACTGTGGCAACACCTCCACTTAATAATCCTTGAATAAATACCCTAATAACGAAATATAAATAAATAAATCAGACTTTTAATTTTATCCTTTCCTGTAGTATCTTTTCTTATTTATTTATAACACCTTCAGTAAAATTATTGTTGCTTATAACGATAATAATAACGATAGCTCCAAATCTGTTTGTAAAATAAATTTTTTTTTATATGTTAACCTGTAGTTTTTGTAATAGGAAATAACAACAGCCAGTTACTCTCTACAGTAAATAGTCAACACTGTTCAGATATAAACAGTAATAAAATTATTAATAGCCTAGAATTGAATTAGAGTACACAATTTTAACAGTGTTAAAATTAATACTTTAGAAGATATCGATTTAAGACTACAAAAAGATAATTACAACATCCTTTTATAGAAAACAATTTTACCATAATACCTTCCAACATACACAGATTAACTTTAATAACATCCAACTTATTCTCTTTTTCACTTTTTATTTCTTATATGTAAAAAGATATTTTAATAAACATTATATTAAACCAATGAAAGAATTTGTTTTCTCCCTTAACCCTTTGAGGCACACGAACATAAATTTTCATATTTTTTTAAAATTGAGAAACTAATTATGATGCTTAGGATCTAAGAATGGGAAAATGACATTTAAAAAAAATTCTGATTCATTGCACCACACAGGGGGTGGTGGTTTCGGTGGTTAACCAGTGTCCACATAGAACATTTTCATGTGAAAAAAAAATATTATCTTTTTTAACTTTTTTTACAATAAATTTTCACTTTTCAGAAATCAAACAATAAACTTAAAGTACTAAAACTATTTATATAATTTTAAAGACCAAAAAAGGCTTTAACAAATATAATATAATACAAAAATAGTATATAATAAAATATATATTAGTGAAAAATAAAACGCATGAATTTCAAACACAAAAAATATTCTAAGTAAAATATAATATATATTATACAATATCAGGATAAAATAAATAGTACAGAAATATATAATAATAAAAATAAAATGTATAATAATAAAAATAAAATATAAAATAAAATGTATAATAAAATGTAATAAAAAGTAAATATGTTACTCAGCATTTACTGTGATATGTAATAATGTAATCTTATTCTTCTGTATTATCTTGTGTATTTAATTCAGTAATAGAAGTAATAGACTTTATTTTCAATAGAAATAGATAAGAGACACATTGCTCCCCATTTATAAGCCCCATGAAGAAAAAACCCTAATAAATTTTTACCCACTTCACTATCTGAGTGAAGGAAGGGGGAAAAAGAATAAAGACTCGTGTTGGTGGATATAATGTTCTAGGGGCACAGTGGCTTCACTCTGAAACCAAAAAATATAAAGGTAAAAATTAAATACTTTTCTGAGGAATCTTTATTGGGAAAAATTTGTGTGTCAAAAGAAGCTCATAAACAACAAATCTGAGTGATATACTTCAAACTTTTTTTGTATTTTATTGAGTAAAAAAAAAAAAACTTGTAGTAATGAAAAAGGGCCTTGAAAACTTTTTATTTTTTTCAAAGGAAGATATAATCTAAGTGTAGTGCTGCTATCTGGTGATGTTTAGTAAAGTTAAAATAATACTTTAATATTATTGGTTTCGGAGATTGACCTTTGTGCCGCTAGGAATAATTTTTTAAAAAGTGCGGTTTCGCTGTCGTACCACTGTGCTTCAAAGGGTTAAGAATAAAAATATATATAAGCCTCAAGATTTTATTATTAACTTTTCTTTCATTAAATTTACACTTCCAAATTCTTTTGTTTCGATCCTTTAAAAGCTGAAAAGGATCAAATTTCACCAAATAAAAAGAAACATTTAAATAATTTATATTTTGTTATTAACTTTCAAAATTTGATTACATTAAAAGATTTTAACATAAGTAATAACACAGCTTTAAATATAATAAATCGCTTGCTAAAACTGTTTTTAATTATAAAATTATTACTGGCAATTTAAATATTACAGAAAATTTTGTACTAAGAAATTTAATGCTGAAACGCACACAATTTAGACCCAATTACCACACATCATATAATAAACTTCTAAAATATTTTCTCAATAAATTTTGTTTAAAAATATCAAATATATTCTCCTTACCATTAGATATGTTAACAGAATGGAAATAGGCTGTTTATTATTACTTTAAAAACTTTATTTTTAATTAGGAAAATTTAAATAACAGTAACAATACAACTTTTTCCAAAACCCATCAATCAATTAAACAACTACAATAATATTTTGTAATTATCCTCATTGACAAAGCTAACAATAATTATGCAATATTCTGTAAAAGATAAAATTATATTTAACTTTTAAATAAGGAGTTGAATAATAGTAAAAATTTTAAGCTTTGTAATTTAAATAATAATATCATTAATAAATTTTAGCTTTATATAAAAGGTAAAAAATTAAAACTTTCCAATAGCATTCCCCCTTTTAAACTATTCTTTTGACATATTACTATGATTTTAAAAATATCCTTAATTATGATTTTGATTATTGGGAAATTCTAATTAAGTTTTGTCTTTTTAATAATTATCTTTGAGAAGGAAAATATATGTTTACTCAAATTGAGGGAATATCACATGGATCTAATTTTTCATCGCTCTTAGCTAACTGCTATATCATTATAACACTGAGTATAATAAGAAATAACAGACCTAGAAGGATGCAAGACTTATTTACTTAAAATCTTTTCGATTACTTTTCTTAGTGCAAATTTTCATATGAATGTTTGTGGCAAGATTATTTAAAAAGGTTTTTAAGTTTATTATTCCCCAAAATAAAATTCCCAGTTTTCGAGGAAAAAAAGTATCAATTTTAAAGAGAAAAAAATTTTAAATTGTATTTCACTACTATTTCTATTTTTTAGAAATTTGTTTAAATAAGAATTTAGTATTATTTGCAGCTATTATTTTATCATATAGTATTAGAAAATAGATAATATATAACAGAGTTCTTCCTAAGAATATAAAAAGGCTGAGTGCTTCTGCACAGAAAAGGGCATGTTTGAGCACTTGTCATCATTAAAATTTATTAAAATGCGTAATATTAAATAATAACTGAATTTGATCCATAATTTTTAAATTTACCAAAATAGCAGAAAAACTTTAATTATTTTTTAAAAACTTCCAAGTCAAGCTAAAAGACAATCACTGCACATAAAATCTCTCTTCAAATAAAGCATTCAAATTTTAAAAAAAAGAATAATTTATAAACAATTTGAAAGCTTTTTTTATATTTTAAATTGAAAATTATCAGGAAATAAACATTTAAAGGTAAATTGTTTTAATAACAGGTATTAATTAAAAAAATAAAATGGTAAAATTTAAAATCACTAAAAAGCTCATTAATAATTCTTCCCCACTAATAAAAGATGTGAACATCTCTAGGGACCTTAATATCATGCAAATTTTTATGAACAACTAGACAACATGAAAAAAAAATCTTAATAAAATGAATGAATGAAATTAAAAATTAAATAATTATCAATAACTAAATAACTCAGAAAGACTTTTCAATGAAACAAGCAGTTAAGAAAACAACCTTTTCCTGAAAAAATAAAATAAAAAAGCAGTATTTTTAAAGCATGGCGACTTTTTTTTTTACAAAAAAGGCAAGAAGTGCCCATTTATAGGGATTAAAGGGCAGTTGGGTGGCTTCTAATCGCACTTAAGAAGATTGTATATAAATTAGACAAACTTTTGGTTTATCTATCACACAACTCTTGTACAGCTGTCAGTTTTTAACTTTTTATATAGATTGATAAATAAGGGCCACTTACGTCACTTTCGATGGGAAATAGAGCATAAGAGGCACAACAGGAGAGTCTTCATTGCCATATATAATAAAACCTTGTTGCTTTAATTTCCTGCGGAAGTATCTGGTATTTCTTTCTAATTGTCTAACTCTTTTAACACCTTCAAAGAAATATATTGTCAAACAACTAACATACAGTTATGCAAAATGTGAAATTAAAAATATCATTTTAATCACAGTATTAGAAAATACCTATTTTATAATGACAACTAAGAACATTATGTTACAAATATACACAAAATTATGAAATTGTTTTGTAAAAATAAATTTTTTTCCAAGCATTGGATTGTACGATATATCAATATATTTTTAAATCAATTCCAATTTCCTTATTTAACTTAGACTAGCTTAAAAAAGGAACTGATTATCTAAATCTTAAATTACCTGAATAAGACACGAAGCTAATTTAGAAATTTAAATTTATTTATTATTTTTGTATAAATGTCATTCTTTATGCATAAAATGCTGATATTTAATAAAATATCACATCATTGCAAGAATGCCTTTTATACAATAAATGTCTTTATTGTGCTATATAATACTTATATAGAGAGACTCACACACACATATATATATTATATACACACAAACAAATATATATATAATTATATATAGCACAATAAAGATATAAAGGATAAAAAGTAAAGAGAAAAACAAAGAAAGTTAATAACTTTCATTTACTACACATAAGCTGCAAGTATTTAGAATAGTGATATAACGAATAGTGATGGGGCCGAATAGCCGAATATTCGGCCAAATTTTAGGCCGAATACTTGCTTTTTAAAAATTTTGTAATTTTGTAACTAAAGTAATTTTCAAATTTTAAATTGAAAATGAAATAAATATTAGCAAAATTGCTTCTTTAATCTTTGTATATTTAAAAAAATTTTAACAACTTGATTTATTTTTTGTAATAATTTAAATATCTTGATGCCAATAACAAGGCAATATGGCTTTTATAAATCTAAATAATTAATAATGGCATATTTTAGTTATAGTTATACTTGTAATTTATATGCTATTTTATTTAAAATAAGAACTCATTACTACTGTTAAATGTATTCTAAACTTTCTTTTTTGTCAGAAAAATTATTAAAACCCAGAAAATTAAGAACTTTTTAAAAAGTTTCACTTTTGAAATTTTTATTTTGTAATTAAATAATTTTCAAATTTTTAATTAAAAATGAAATAAATATTAACAAATTTGCTTTTTTAAACTTTTTATATTTTAAAAAAAATTTAACAACTTAATGTAGTTTTTGTAATATTTTTAATATCTTGATGCCAACAATAAGGCTTTCACAAATCTAAATAATTAATAATAGCATATACTTCATTATTCGGCCGAATAACTTCAGTATTTGGCTAGGCCGAATATTCGCCAAAAGGGGCGAATACCGAATAGTGGCCCAATATTCGTTACATCCCTAATTTAGAAATCATAAAATATATTAAAATTATAGAGAAAACATGGAAAATATAATAATGATAAATGAAAAGAGAAGAAAAATTATTAAAATAAAATATTTTTAATAAACTTTATAAAAAAAACTATTAAAAAGCCGGAACACAAAATAATGAAAATTAAAACAAAATAATTTCATTATTTCGTTTTCCTATTTTTTAATAATTATTTTTTTTAAATATTTTTAAAAATATTTCATTATAATATTTTTTTTCTTCTTTACATCAATCTTTATATTATTTTCCATGTTTTCTCTATATTTTTAATATATATATATATGGTATTTTGTATAAGTTACATAATAAAATAAAAAATTCTTTATATCTTTTTATTTATTTTTATGAAATTTAGAGAGGTGAAAGTATTAACAAGGAAACAAAAATGGTTGCTCGTTTCCTTTTTCACACTTTGAAAGTCATCATTGCATCAAATTTTAAAAAAAAAAATGAAATCACAAAATTTGGGGTTGTCAGAAAGGGGTTATTTAAATGTACGTTTGAGATTCACCTGTTGTAACATTGTATCAAAAACATTGAAATTTTCAAAAATATATAAAAACCAGTAGAAATAACTGGTGAAAAATTGATATATATAAAAAAGACAGAATAATGGTTACAAATAGAAATAATCAGGTGAGGAATTTTATAAAATCATGTGAAAATTCAACAGCAATGACTGAAAAAAAAATCAAAAGAACTACACTTTCGCTCAATTTTTTAAAAACATACTAATATTGAACTGTAAATATAGTAATTTAAGAAGAGCTAATATGTTAATAAAAAAAAAAAATATTGAAATTAAAAGAATAAACTAAGAGCACTTATATAATAGGATATTTTTTGGTGAAAATGATAATAATCACTTAAGTTCAAAAAATTAACCAATGCTGCAGCAGAATTTTAATAAGAAAATAATAATAAAAAAAGATGTTACTTTCAACCTTATTAGCTAACTATTGTTATTGCTAATTTTGAAATTTGTTAATTTTTAGGCTTGATATGAGATTTTAATAGATTTTGACCACAAATTTCAATACATTCTATGACTTTTTTACTCACAATTGAATTCCCAAAAATTTTAAATTTCCCTGTTTACATGGAAATTCTACATTTACATAAAAATTTTTACATATATGTTTAGGTAACATATAATGCAACAGAATTATTTATTACAATGATATATCATAAGTATTTCAAACATTATTATTATGTAAATTTGGGCACATATCTATGTTCTAAGGGTTTAAAGTTGGGAAAAAACTAGATATTTATTCTCTGCATTGCTAAGAATCCCAAAACTTTATTCAAATTTTAATCTTAAAATGTGTAATAACAAATTTAAAATGATTCCATGAATGATTAAACGAAAACTCTTTTATAACAAAATTGACACAATTTAACACCTTTTGCTGACACCTGACCTTTTGCTAAAAAAAATACAGAAATCTCTTTTGGGTTTTATTACTTATTTATTTCCATTTAAAAGAGGATTTATATCAAATATACTATAAAGTTTCAAAATTTATCACCAGGATAAAATTATTAAAGATAAAATTATAAATAGAATTGAGTATATTTGATCTATTGACTTAAAATAATGTTACATGATTAAAACACAATGAAAAAAAATTAAGTATTATTTTTAATACCTCTAATACATTGAAGTAAACTCTTTTCTTTGGAGAAAATTAATGCCAAATAAAATAAATATTAATATTTTATCAGCTACACAGACATTTTACTACATACCATTAAATGAAGAAAAAAAATCTTGTCAATGTTAATGTCACAGAAATTGTATATTAATATTTGATCAACAATGATCAATATTTTGCTACTGTTATAAGATATGCATGAATATTTACAAGAAAAAATTTATTTTTATACAACAATTGGGGAACAATATATATCCAATATGGCATCAATTTATTACACGAAGCAAAAGCTACTTTTTTTATGATAAGGAAATTATTTTGTACAAAAATGAATAAATAATACAAATGAGGAATGTAATAAAAAGAACAATACCCACACACCCCAACTTTGTATTCTAGGTCAGAACTTTCCTTATTTTTAAGAATAATATATTTGCAGCAAAGAGCAAGATTTGAAACATACCTTCACTTAAAATATGTAACAATTCAATGTTTGTACACTAAAAGCTAAACAAACAGTTGCTTTGTAGGTGGATTCTGATAAATATTGATGAGCACATAAGAAAACAATAGACAATAGAGCATGAATTACCTTCTGTAGAGCCGTCTCTTCCCATTAGAATTTTTAAGGTCATTATTATTTGCTGGGCAACGGGTGCAGACATACTGGTTGCATAACTAGCGCTGTGAGAATGAGTTCGAATGTGATTAATCAAGTCCTGTTGATAAATGAAGTATTTGTTGGAGTAAAACAAATATAGAATTTGTATCAAACATTAGCATGAATCTAAAAACAAATTCATTAAACAATTAAGCCAGGGCCGCTGTAACCACAGGACCCCAAATCTTTATATCGTGGGTCCCCCACAAGGGACCTCTAAATGAATTTTTGATTTAGAAAGTTGCACAAAAATTGGTTTGTGCAATTTTCTAAATATTTTTAAGCATTATGTTTCATATTCTTCTTTGAAAATCATTAAAAATGTGTTATATAGTTTAAGTGTAAAATTCGGATAATCAAAAATGTTTTTTTATTTGGGTATATTTCCTACAATACCTCTCGTTAAATTTCCTAATTTTATGTTATTTTGGGTACTTCAAATCACAGGTGCTTGATTTTTCTATTTAATTTTCAGTAACAATCTACGATATATTTAAAATTATCTCGTGGTGTTTGGTAGGCAAAAATTTAACAAGTTTTTATAACTGAATATTGGTAAATTTTGGTTAATTAATTTGGTATCAGTAAGGCACCAAGTTACACATCAGCCTCAGGCCTCATCACCATACCTCAAATCAACTTTGGTTCACTATTTCATTTCAATTATCAGAAGTCTAAAAATTATGCACTCTAGTGGGGTATAGCCAGTGACCATTACACAGACAATATCCAACCCTTTGCCTCCCAACAAAAAATTAATCAAAAAAAGATGATACATAACTAGCATACTATACATAATATACTTATAGACAAAATATTTCCACAAAATTTTTTCAAACTAATTTCAATAAACTCAGGGAAAAGAGAAGAAAAAAACACTGAACTTATAAATTCTGAGACGTACTTATTCAAGTTGCAAAAGATTCAAATCTGTTAACAGTTAAAAAAATTTTATACTTTTTTTTAAACCTATAACATATTTCAAACAAATGTAGTTCATAGATTTAATTAAAAATGTGAATGATATATGTTCAGTAAAACAATAATGAACTTAAGAAAAAATTAGCATCCAATATAATTAAATTTCATTAAAAACTCTTCTAACTTGTTAATTTTTTTGATACAAGCGGCCGTTCATTGAACAAAAGAGAGTCTTGTTTCGTCCTCGGATCACTAAACTTGTCTTAGTTTAGATTAAACAAATAAGATTTTTATTTTGAAGAAGTAAAAACTTACTCTAGACCCGGCAATATAGCCACCAGAAGCTCCAAAGCTTTTAGTAAAAGTACCCATTAACAGATCGACATCGTGTGGGTCGCAGCCAAAATAATCTGTCACACCTCGACCTTTGCTTCCAATTGCACCAATGCTGTGAGCTTCATCTATATACAAATAGCATTTGTATTTTTTCTTAATGGCAATGAGAGCTGGAAGATTTACTATTGTTCCTTCCATACTAAAAATATAAAGAAAAAAATTTAAATATTGTTACAACTTCATCATAATCAGATCTACAAAAATTCAAAATTTCTTGCAATCAGTAATTATTTTTGGAAACTATAGATATTATGGTATGAAGAACGACATAAATATTTTTTAGCATGAAACTACACAAACTATTATATTTAATTCAACATTATCTCGGAAAGGAAGATGTAAGAAGCATAGTATTTTGTCAAGCATTCTGCTAAGTTTTCTTAAGGCATAATAACGCAGTGTTGCGTAATTCTTTTATACATTGTAACGCAGAACCATCAGTTCTTAATGCAATGGCTAGAACTTACATTTTATTTTTTGCTTGAGTGACATTGCTTTACTTAACTGAAACATTTTTCATAACTGCTATTAAAAAATCAGAAGACAAAACTCAAATCAAATTTTTTTCTTTCTTAAAAAAATTATTATATTCAAAATCAAACAATTGATTGTCGATTTTGGCAAAAAAAATTGGGCACAAGCTATTATTTCTTTTAGACACCTCAGCGAACAGGATTTGTAAGCCCCTGATCTTAATTAATAGATAAAATATAACTTACCTGTAAATGCCTTCAACAATAATTAAAATCTTTTTCCATGGTTTATGTGATATAGGTTGCCCTTCAACAATAGCATTTTTTACTTTTTCTTCAAGGTCTTTCATATCTGAAACAACGCAAAAATATTTATGAGGAAAAACTTCAAATATAAAAAGTTAATATCTAAATTCTTTCATAATAAATACTTCAAATCTATCTAGGAATTTAATGACATAATCAAATAACATTTTTAATAACTAATTGTAAACATTTTTTAATGAATAGATAAAATTTTTTAACTACAGATAAATTTTTTTAACTGAATCTAAATGAAAATTACCTATTGAAACAAGATGCATTAAATAGGCTTTTAAGTTGTCAAAATTAATATTACTCTGCTAAATTTTTAAATAAAAATTTAAAAACCTGCTTATTTTTATATTTCCTTAAATTAAGTTAAACAAATTAGCCTATTTTAAATTATTTAAGCTTACATTTTTTTTAAAAGATACAAAAGATAAAAGTTTAATGATTATCCATCTTTGAAGATAATAATAATGTTAAATATGTTAGAGCACAGGTTAAAACTGCAATATAAATATAACATTATTAAAATTAAAACATTAAAAAATTCTAAGTTTACCATTATGTTTATAAACTTGGATCTTAGCGCCTGATAAGCGACACCCCAGAACTAATGAAGCATGATTAAGTTCATCACTTAAAATGAGACACCCTTTAGAGACTAATGTTGGAATGTTAGTTGAATTAGTAGCAAATCCCATTCCTACAGTAATACTGTCTTCTACTCCGAGAAATTCAGCAACTAATGATTCTAATTTTCTATGAATATCTAAATTACCTAAAAAAACAAATGGGAATTATACTCTCCAACAGAAATTTAATACAAATTTCACAATTATTAAGAGTTTAAACACTTTGAATACATTTAAAACAGGTCTTCAATAAAATGTAGTTAAATAACATATTTTTTACTTTAATTTATGTAAAATACATTGCATCTTAATGATACAGATAAGACAGTTTGATGAATGTTTCATTTTTATTACTTTATTTTGTCTAGATATTTGAATTTATGATTTATTTCAATTTAATGTTTAAAAAATTCACTAGCCACCTGTCTTATGATCATGAATTATCACCACAAATGATCTTATATAATTCAATGCCAATCAAAAGAATTAGGATTTACACCAAACCTCAATTATTTTTCGAAAGTCATCATACTTTTACCTGCAAAATAAAATTTCAATAAGATTCAGAATATTCATTTTGGACGAATAATGGAAGAAGCGTCTGCCAAAGACAAAACTTAGTTCGTTTACATCCATCTCTCTTGTTTTCCCCCCTGGTAAGGGTTTATTCGATTAAAAAAACAATAATGAAGATAAACAAATTTGTGAAGGATCTGATTAAAAGAAACGTTACGGACCCAAATTTCTTCTAAACAGAACCCTGAATATTATTCAATTTTGTATCCATATCTAAATAATAAATTTTTTTTTTTTGAAAAATATATGCACATAAAAACTGAAAATTTTTACCTAATTCATGGTGAGTACTGCATATACCATTGCCATAGTTTAAAATAACCTTTTCTACACTGTCAGTGCATTTTCCAGTGTTTTCAGCAAATCCTAAATAATTATATGATCCTAAATTTATAGCTTCTAGACATTTTTCAGCTCCAAATCTAAAATCGATATTAGAAGATTAGAAAAGTTATAGGTACAGAAAATTCAATCTGAAATTAAATGGGAATAAAATTAGTTTAGCTGGAAATACAAAAACAGAAAAATTAGAGAAGGACCTAAAAGACAAAAATTCCATGTGCTTCAGGTCTTTCGCTGTACAGTTCACACTAGCAAAGAGATAACTTGTAACCCTTTGCTCAGATTCCAGGTATTCTGTTAGTTTTGTAGGTGGCAAGATTAATTCTTGTTATATTTCATGCTTGCCCTTCAGTAGAGTCAACAAGTATCTTGAGAATTAAAGATTTTTTTCCACATGCTGCCTTTAATGCAAAAAAAAAAAAAAAAAAANAAAAAAAAAAAAAAAATACAGTGCGTTGAGGAGGAGTTAAAAGAAGAGTCAAAGATCTGCTACAATTTTCTACCTGTTTGTCAATGCAAATTTTAATACAGTTTTATAGAAATTTTGCTTATTTGTATATTACATTTCCTTTTTAGTAAAAACAATTTAAACTAACCTAACATGAATAGATTAGTAAACTGTTCATGTAAGGTTAGTCTTAAATTGTTTATGATTGTTATGAAAAAAGTCATACATTTTTATGCTTATACAAGTAGGATATAAAATAAACAAATAACTCATAAAATATTGCAATATATAAGTTTAAGTACAGTACAGAACCCGTTATCCGGAAATCAGAAAACCGGAAAACCAAAAAACCGGAATGAAATTCGATAAATTTTCCCGCCATTTTCAAAAAAAAAAAATTTTTTTTCCTCATAAGATTTTAGNAGCTGACGGATTTTATTTAAGCATGATAAACAACAAAAAGCCACGCAAAAACTATTGCTCTGCGTTTTATAGGATGATTAAACAGTGTAAAAAAGTCCATATGCCTTTTCTGTATTCTTACGCCTCATCAAATTTATTTATTACTCATAGAAAATCGTTTAATCTTTCCTGATATGGAAGTGAAAGATCTTAAAATAACTTCTCTTTTGAAGTATAAATCTAATTATTATTCATTGGCATGTTTTTAGCCTTGAAGTCCCAAAATAGAATTTCTACCCTTATCCTTTACTAAAGATATTTTATGAAAACGAATGAAGTTTTAATGCTTTTATTAATACAAAATTATTTAATTTTTGTATTACATATATACATATATATACATATACATATATATACATACATATATACATATATATACATATATATACATATACATATATATACATATATATTCATATACATACATATACATATATACATACACAGTGTGTTGAGGAGGCTTTAGAGTCAAAGATCTGCTACAATTTTCTACCTCTTTCCAATGCACATTTTCATACAGTTTTATAGAAATTTCGCTTATTTGTATACATATTACCACCTTTCTTTTTTAGTAAAAACAATTTGGACAAACCTTACATGAATAGATTAAAAAAAACTGTTCAGGTAAGGTCAGTCTAAATTGTTTATGATTGTTATGAAAAAAGTCATACATTTTTATGCTTATACAAGTAGGATATAAAATAAACAAATAACTCATAAAATATTGCAATATATAAGTTTAAGTATATACACAATTTAAAATACAAGTGCAGGTAAATTTTAAAATTAAATATAAATTTTGTTTAAATATTTCTAACTACATAAAATACAATATTTAGTAAAAATATTAACAAATAAAATTTTAAAAAAATGGTGAGAAGAATAATTAAATTGTAAATTTATACCTATACTGAATAAAGAAGTATCAGTGAATATTTTAAAAGATAGTCAATTCCTAATTAAAAACTTAAACACACAACCTACTTTTTATTTTGATGAAAATCAGGTGAAATTGTTATTTTTAGTTTAAACAGAACACCGGGGACTCCACATACAAACATATTCCATCCTTGCACAATCCTTTTGTAGATGTTGCGAGTATAAAAGCTTTCGAAGCTCCCATATAATTTAGCATAACCCTATAAAGCAAAGATTAATTTACTATAAAATATATAACATTATATGCAATACTGACTATAGTAACAAGCAAATTTTCATACTTCTCGATTGGCTTCCTTGACTTCTTCGCTCTTGCCAAAACCTAATTTTCGGACAAAATCTCTAATGTGACCAAAAATTGTTAGCACCACATAACAGAAGTAAACAGTTAATGCAATTACGAGAGGTGTTTCTTCAAATTCTTCCTTAATTTCTTTGGTTTGTTTTATCTCTCGTTTAATCTAAAAGTAAAATAGAAAGAGAGAATTGAAAATTTTTAGAAGTTTTTAATAAGCAAAATGAATAAATTTCACACCCTCCTTAAAATTGAATTTCATATATATTTAATTGGTATTCTTTGATTGAAACAAAAATTAAAATATGAATCAATACTTATAATTATTTACGTACCAATAAGGTAGAAAAAAAAATATTTTTTGTTATAGGCTCTGATATTACAGACAATGAACATAATCATATATTCACCAAATATCTTCAAAACTCATGACATATATTCAGGGTTTTAAAAAATACACAGGTTTTTTTCCATGGTTTCATTAGGTTTTTTCAAAGTAATGTATATTCTTTTTCATCTTTATAGTCTTAGTGTTGCTGCATTAATAAACACCAGTAATTTAATTTCAGTTAATTTAGTTATATTTTAAAAGTATCATTTGAAATGTGCATAACAAGAGTCACAGGTCTGGAAAAATAGTATATAAAATATATTTTTTATGAATAAATTATTTTTTATGAATAAATTTATGAATATTATATATTGTACCTTGTTATATCAATAGCTTCAATTGTATTGTAAAAATATTGTACTAATTATTGTACTATTATATAAAAACTAAATATGTACTAAATATTGTACTATTATATAAAAATATTGCACTTTTTAAAAATATTGTACTAGGCTCAATATTTTTAAGAAAGTTAATAAAATTTTTTAAAGCAGAGTCCTCGTGACAGAATTTTTTCAAGCTATCTGCGACCAAACTCTCCAGTACTAATATCTTTCTGTAAGATACTTTTAATAATAATGAACACACAAGTTACTAATTTAAAATAACAAGTACACTTTGTTTACAAACAAAAAACTGTATAATTTATTTTTAGTTGAACGTGTAATAATTTTATTCTTATATTATGAGTCATATTCTCGCATTGTGTTGAGGGGGAAATGCACAAATTACTTCATTCTTCACATTTTGTAAATAATCATCACAAAAAAAAAAATATTAAAAATCATGCAATCCGCAGTAGTAATTGCCGAAAAAAAGATGGGCGATGAAATCATGCGAATCGGACTCCTCAAGTGTGCATTTCATTTCAAGATTACGTTGTTATAATAAATAATATCGTAAGAAACATTGAATCGTTTAAAAACTATGGAGAAATCAATATCAATAACTGTCAAAAATTCGATAGAATTATTGTCTTAAAAAGCAAAATACTCCGATGCATGATTTGAATTTTCCATACTGTTTGAAATTTATCGGGATATTTAAAAACCAAGTAAAAATCAATATCAATAACTGCCGAAAATACAATCGAAACATTACATTGGTTTACGATACTATCGGCGTAAATTGTGCGCCTCAAAAAGTGATTATCTAAATGCATGATTTAAATATTAGATGTGAATTTCTGAAGAAAAGAAAAATCTTTCTGTAAGAACGCTAACATTCTGCAACACTGTCACATGGAGTGGAATATAGAAGCAATCAAAATACAATATTTGTTTTCATGAAAGTTAATATTTTATTTCCTATTATGAGCTTAATATCTAGAAGTTAATAATAAAATATATTAACGCACTTGGTAGCTTTTTGGGTTGGGCAAAATCCTAACCTTGCATATTTTATAGTAAAGAAAAGTTTACTGGAGCATTTAAATTTTAAAGTTAACCTATGCAATTTATTAATCTGAGTATTCTCCTGAAGTGTTTTTAGAAGAATAACCTTATCTGAAATCCTAAGCAAAATACTGTAAAAATATGATTAATTGTATAACATTCATACTTGAAAATAAGTTTTTTTTCATTATTAAACTTATACCTTGGAATACCATTTTCAGTTCAAATATTAAAAAAGCTTTAAAAAATGTTTACCATTTCATTCATTAAATTTTATGAAATTCAACAATTTAAAACTGAAAATGTAGAAATTAGTGAATAAAAATGTACAGTTAAAAAATTTTCAGATTGTTTTATAAATTATATTTAACTTATAATTTTGTGATTAAGTATGTAAAAACAAAATTTGTTTTAAATACATTTATTGATAAACACTTTTGCTATACTACTTGAGAGTTGGTTTCAATATTAATAATTAACAGCATTTGGTTATCAAAATAAACAGTATATGCTGTTTGTAATATAAATAAAATTTGTAGTATAATAGAATTATATAGGTATATTTTGATTATGACAGTTTAAGCATTTTATATGATGATAAAAAATTTTTACAACTTTTCTATATGTAAAACATTGAAAGAAAACAATTGTTTGAATTGATTACGAAACTCATTTTTTTTTTTCTTCTTTCAATTTTAACCTTTTTCTTTAAAAAAAAAAAATGATTCATAAATTTACTTGAAAATATTATTATTCTAATTTAGTTCAATAATAAAAAGTTTAAGTATTTAATACTTGATATTTCCTCAATAATAAGATTTTTATACATTTCGTTCACTTGGGTTGAAAGAAACCTATTTCTGTCAGAAAGGTTTTTCCACAGTGGAAGAAATTTGCCCTAAGGCAGTTCCATCATCTAAGACTGTCACATTTGCTGGCTTTAAATGCAATTAGCACTTAGATTCTTTTTTTCTTTTCTTTTTAAATCAAGCAGTTCTAGTTTTTTTTTTTAAAATAAATAACTATTAGTTATTGTCATTTACGCATACTTCTAGTCATATTTACTTATTTTTTTAACAATACTTTTGAAATAAAAACACTAATTACAGTTTACATATTTTGTCTACATGAGAAAATTTTCTACTTAAAATCATAAAATATACCTCACATAAAATGACTAAACAACATCACATTTATAAAAAAACAACTTGACAATAAACATTTTTTACTTAGTAACGACAATTTAAACTATATTATAATAATTTACCTACAGAATCAAATAATTATATCATATTCATATAATATAATTCTAGGGTAACAATAAATCCTTTAAATTTATAACTCAATTAATATTTGTAAAAAAATTAAGCAGAGCAATAAGGTACCTAACAATACAAATATTTGTGCGATGTGAATTTCGACAAATTTGCATTAATTACTTAGATATTTTAATGGTTATATCTAATTAATACAAGAGATAACTTTTTTTTACCTAAGATCATTAAATCTTGCATACAATAAATAAATAACATCATATTTGTATAGGTATTAGAATGTCAATAAACATTTTTCTCTTAGAAATGACAATTTAAACCATTAAAATAATGCCAATGATCATTATATAATATTTAACTCTTTTGACAGGTAATCATAAAACAATCAATGAGCGATTACAAAAGTTTATAATCCTATCAAATTTGAAACAATAACTGAAGCAAATTAAGTAGCGCAATAAGTTAAGGCACATCCGTGCAAAATGAATTATGACATATCTTCATGAATGAATAAAATTCATATGTATTTTAATAATATTGCAGGAGAAACAAATAATATGTAACTTAATATCAGAAAATCATACATAGAATGAATAGATAACATCATGTTTGTATAGAAATTAGCCTGTCAAATAGAAATAACAATGTCAATGATCTTAAATTAAATATTTAATTGTTTTGTAATCATAAAACAATCAGTGAGCGATGATTACAAAACTTTACTTTTAATATCCTATCAAATTTATGAGCCAATAACTGAAGTAAATTAAAGAGAACAATAAATTTAACAAAATATCTATGTAATGCGAGTTTTGACAAATCTGCATAAATGAACACACCCATACCTCATGGTTTTTGTAGCCGTTCTGGAGGCCGTGATGGAAGCCATTCGCTTCATGTTTCATTTGATTGGTCATGATTATTAATAAAACAATATACAAGTGGGTGATTATCAGCGATATAATTTATGAGCATTTTGTGGAAGAAATAAAATAAATAGAATCACAGCTACAAGCTTCCAAATTTAGAAGGCCGGTCGCCGACTCCACAGCAGTCGGCATCATGGTAGAGAAGGCAGTAGGAGTTGGGTTGAGAAGTGTGACGAAAATGACAACAGATTCGCGCATGCGCAGTAGCAATCATGTTTATGGCACGTGAACTGAAAAAACTGTTGAAATAGCATGCAAATGGATTCCAAACAAAAGTGAAAAGTTATTGACAGGCGGCACGTATATAAAATGAGCTTGAAAAATTTCTCTTTTCTCCTACGAAATTGCAGGTAGTTTAAAAAATGAAACATATATTTTACAATGTTCGGCCGGCTGACAGCGCAGGGGCGGATCAAGGTTGGAATTGGGATTTGGGAATTGTGTTATCAACCCAATATGACATTAAAGTTCAATTAATTTAATGTACAGTTCGAAGTTGAACTCACTAGCACTTTATTCTTTACGCTTATCTACAATTTTGCGTCCCGCAATAGACTGACCGTAAAAACAGTTCCCAGTAAAACACCGAAGTCAAACATCCCTGGCTGTGGTTAGTAAGCGCGTGGGTGATCACTTTGCTCAACCTGCGTAGGGAACGAGGGTGCGGGTTATCGGCCCTCATTAAATTATTCAACCCTAAAGTGCTCGACTTCACGGACAAGCTATCCCCTCAGCAGAGGATTAAAATTGTGATGGCATGTCTTTAGATCATTCTTAGGGATGTGGGATGTTCTCCAGGCTGTCGTCAATAGTAAGCTGACCACAGTCCAGATAAAACATTTTAAAAAAAATTTTAAAAATCTAGTAGCAAAATTTCTGAAAGAACATTTGGAGACATATACTTTTCAATTATTTAAAAAAATATATTTCTGTGAGAGGATATCTGAAAGGGATAGATATCTGTTCTCAGAATATGAAATTGGAAAGGGAATGAAACTTTAAAATTCCGCATGATAAATTTACAAACAGCTTTTTTTTAGTTTTCTGAAAACACTGGTCATTCAAACCATAGAACATTCTGAAAAACTCAGAAACAGAAAAAACAAAACTTTTGATCCAGCGGTCAGATTTTAATCAGAGAAGACGATATTTTTTGGCTACAAAATCAGGCATAAAAG